ATTATTGAATCTACTGTCTTCTTGTCTTAATTGTCATGTCACGTATTTTACTGTCCTTTGTCGACAGATATTTTAAAATGATTACCTTGTTTTCATCGATATATGACTGTAATATTGCCGACACAATATCGAGTTTCACTCAGTCACTCCCTGAAGCCCTTCCTTTAACTGTCACTTTGAACGAAATGTTGAGACGCTTTCACATCATGGCAGTGAAGATGAGAAACGCAATGATACTGGTGTCATTTTGTTCGGTTTTCAAAGTATGATTTGCAAGTTGTGTACCGTCGTAGGCAGCATCTTTGTATGTAAATATCGAGTCTGGTCCAGATAATCCACTGATTGGCATCGACAGCGTCGATCTCTGCAATTCGAATACATTATGTATCAGCCCAGTCAGCGAAATTGACCACTTTATAATGCATGGGTTGCTGAAGATATATTCTCAGGCGGATCATTATAGGTCACATAACGTATACATTTAGTCAAACTAAAGTACAAGCATTTACAGGTGGGTTTCGCTGTAATCGCTTACGATATATATACATTCACACATTGCTAAGGATCAAATCATGGATTCAACAAAAACTATGATGTGGGGCCAAATTTGGTTTAAATATCTAAGCTTACTGTAAGCGTGGTTCCTTGGTTTCAGTATGTCATTTCATCTTGTGGATCTCATACCTGCTATTGACAGGTGTTGTGTACTTGTCAGTGACTCGTTCCATGATTTGCAAAATGGTTGTTTGGTGCCATGAAAACCATTTTTATGGTTGCTCAGGTATCAAGTGCATATGGTTAGAATAAAGTGGCTGTCTCCCTAAAGAGGGGTTACCATATTATTATTTATCCAGTTTTAAATTGATACAATTTCAAATTTTAAATCTAGGTTTAAGTAAAGTTGTGAATTTTTGTGATCCTTATCAAAGAGTGAGTAGTATATATACTGAACATCATTGAAAACGCACCACTTATAAAAGTTCAGATTATTAAAAGCACACTGTAAGGAATTGATATTTTTTGAGTGGATAATAACAGATGGACGACGGACAAAAACAACAAACACAGAAAAGACGCTCATTCATTGAAATGTTCCACAGTCAGAAAGGATCAAACACACGTGGGGTCAAATCGAAAAGTCAATATCGCGTGTGACCGCCATTTGCATTGACACATGCAGTTCAACGTCTCCTCATTGAGTCAATAAGCGTCCAAATAGAGTTCTTGAGGATGGCATTCCACTTCTGCAGTAGTGCAGCCTCAAGTTCCCGGATGTTTCTCATCTGTTTCACGGGGGATACATCTGGCGACTGTGCTGGCCAATGAATAACCTGGATGTGTTGCTGGGCCAGATACTGCATGGAAAGTCTTGCTGTGTGTGCCCGTGCGTTGTCCGGTTGAAAAGTATGGACATCTTGGTGGTGATTGAAGACAGATACGCTGTGATTCTGAAGAATCTGCTCACGGTAATAAAGGGCATTAACTCTCCCTTGACAGACATGAAGGCAGTCCTGTGATTGTAATTTATTCCACCCCAGACCATGACACTCCCACCACCCAAAGGTCTGTCTGAACCACACACTCATCAGCATAACGTTCACCACGTCTACGCCAAACACGTAATCGTCAGCATTACGTAGATGAAGACGTGACTTGTCAGTGACTACCACACCATGCCATTGTTGTAACCTTGACTGAAAATGCCTGCTAGCCCATTGTATACGCTCATTACGGTGTCTGTCAGTCAGAATTGGTCCAACGTAAGGACGTCGAGCATGGAGTCAGCGCTGATGACCCCCACGTCAACCTTGAACTAGTGCAGCAGTCGTGGCAGTCGGCAGTGTTCAATCACTGATATGGACATGGTCAATATGGCGATCCTGATGGAGCGTCGTAACACGTTGTTGCCAAGGTCATTGAAGGTCACGGGTGCTGCCTGTCTACTGATGTCGTCTATGAAGCCTAACGATGGTGGTGTGGCCAAGTCCAAGTTGTCGAGCAATATCCCTGCTGCTGGTGCCAACCTGAATCATGCCTAGTGCACGTTCTCTTTCGTGAGGTGTTAACCTCGGCATCTCTGTCCTCGTTTCACGATCGTTAGTGAAGCAATGAGAATTGGTTCTCATACACCTGCTTTTAATGTCACAGTCAGTATAATTTCAAAATGAAATTCGCGCTTTTTTCATGGCGTGGCTGCATGTTGATGCATTTTGGAATTAAGAGTCATACTGTGGACAGGAATTTGTTTCTAAAGTATTTTTTCAACTGGACATGCCCTTCGACTTCATGTTAAATATATTCATTGATAATTGTCATGCTGAAATCCATCTTGATGAAAATATGGACAATTTTAGACTGGTGCGTTTTCAATGATGTTCAGTATATATTAGCTCTACTTAAACCTGGCTGTTTTAATTTAAACCGCTGGGAGATAGTCTCAATGTGTTTAAGGACTGAATCCTTATCACATCCATGTCATGGTAGACTTTGTCTCGTCGCTATTTACCTGAACTGATGCCGATGCTACGTGATATTTTAACACACTCACTCACTCCATGTCATGATCAAGTATACACAGGGATATTTCACATCAGTACCAAACAGGACTGTCTATAGTCTCGTCGAACATTTGTGCAGTGACTAAATATAGCTGTGACGTCACTATTGTTTCAACTGCAGACAAGCAATCTACGGATTGCCAATATGTACTTGTTATAAAACTGGTCTTATTCCAGAAATAGCAAAGATTATTTCAAAATTTATTTATGTGCTGTTTACACATGTTGCAGTCTGCCACCTTACTCGTATCAATTATTGAAAGCCCATGCGTATACTCAAGTGCCAGCTTGGTGGGTTTTCCAGTAATTAATTATAAATTGAATTGAAATTTAAAAATTTACAATCTCGTGATACGTCAAGTGGTGACGTAAGTACTTCCTTTTCGACACGAAGTGCTTACAATATCTATTACAGTAATTCACGTACTCACATAAGTCTGTAACTCTGTGTCATGTTGCTCTTCTCCAATCAGTTGTCAACTCCGGACATCCTTAACAACTGACTGACTGAGTTTGGTTTTACGCCGCTTTTAACAATATTCCAGCAATATCACGGCGGGTGACACCAGAAATGGGCTTCACTCATTGTACCCATGTGGGGATTCGAACCCGGGTCTTCGGCGTGACGAGTCAACGCTTTAACCACTAGACTACCCCACCGCCCCACATCCTAACAAGGAACAGTGTGATACTACTGCTCGGGGAGTTACGTTAGGTTTATTATAGCTGATATTTCGCTAAATTAGACTTAGTTTCGTCTTTATTATCTGTGGGGCGGTGGGGTAACCTAGTGGTAAAAGCGTTCGCTCGTCACGTCGAAGACCCGGGTTCGAATTCCCACATGGGTACAATGTGTGAAGCTCATTTCTGGTGTCTACCCCCGTGATATTGCTGGAAATTTGCTAAAGGCAGCGTAAAAGTATACTTACTCACTTATTATCTGAACAGAGTAGACTCGTCCTTTATCAGTTCTCTCAGAAGGTGAATTTTATGGATGTCAAATTCTGTAATACGAGGATCATGACGTTTCGGGGTACATATTTACTCCCTCCTCGGGTGTATGAAAGCTAGGAAGCAGGGAGTTAAATATATATGTACATGTGCGAAGACAGTAGTTAATTTGCGCAGATTGGCAAAGGCAATTGATAAATACAAGCCAGGAGCAAATGCAGGTGTAATTGTGTAACATGTCACATGCATATATGTAGCTGTCTACTTCCTACTTTTCATTCACCTGATGAGTATATACTCCGAAACGTCATATTCCTCATATTACAGAAGTTGACTTCCATAAACACTCCTCCTTCGAAATGCCATTGAAAGAGTCGTAAGAGTGGGTGAGTTTAATTTTACGCCGCACTCAGCAATATTCCAGCTATATGGCGGTGGTCTGCAAATAATCGGGTCTGGACCAGAAAATCCAGTGATCAACAGCATAATCATCAATCTACGTAACTGGGTTACGATGATCAAGTCAGCGAGCCTGACCGCCTGATCCCGTTAGTCGCCTCTTACGACCATAGTATTTTATGGTTATATGCTAGGTTTAAATATAAATCTGTGATAGACTAGTTATTTTAATGTCCTTCGGAGACAGGTAAGTATATAAGCTTGTTTTTATTTCATGTATACATTTACAAATTTACAACTTTCATAGTCACGATATGGATGAAATACTGCCGATGTGACTTTTAATTTTAACTCACTCACTCACGCACTCCTCTTACAACAGGCATGGGTTACTGAAGACCAACGGGCTCTTCCAAGGCACTAAATGAATGGACGGATGGATGGATGCCCTGCCCTGTCAGGCACTAGAAGGTAACATGTTTAATCTTTCCGGGTACCATTCGCTACTGGGTGGGGGCGGCGAGGTAGCCTTCTGGTGTCCGCGATGTTGCTGGAATATTGCTACAAGCGGCGTACTCACTCACTCGCTGCGCGGTGAGGAAAGGCAAATCATTTCTTTAGATTACACCTACTTTCCTGTGCATAATTAGAAAAAGGTCATAGAATGATTATAAGCCTTTCGAAGAAAATGTAAACTGAATGATTATGCACACATTTTGGGTTTCACTAACAAATGTTAAAGTTTGTCGTTACAGTGCCGACTTTTTGAGATCGCGTTTTCAAGTACTACCAAGAAGAATATTTGGTTGTGTTTTCGAATTTGTTTTGGAATTATAAATGTGTTGAACAAAACATGAGGATGACATGAAATCAGTTGGTGTAAAGTACATGCATTCCCCACTGCATAATACGGGAAGCGGCCTCCCCATCAAATATGCCTATTGTAGGATACACAGTGCTTCAAGTTAACTGGTATTGACATCAGGAAGAACATACTTGGAAACAAAAGCTCATTGTTGCTGGGACTTTACTGCCATGGAGACCAATGAAAGTTAGCAATACGTAGTGTTAAATGAACTTCCTTGTTCTTCAATATTTAGTGAATGTAATTTTGTCATTTGTATGCACTAACTTGATAGCCATGGATGTGAAATGCCTGCTAGTTTATGTCATCATCATGACGACCCAGCAAGTTATCAATGGGCATAAGCTTCGACCTGTGTACAAGAAATTGTCCCGTCTTAAAGATGCAGTCTATGCACATCGGGCGCAATGGAAAAACGAAATGAAGATTTTTCACAACATCATTGAAAGGAAATTCTTGAACAGAGTTGTACGTGAAACGCTGCCAAATCTCATTGAAAAGAAATTGTTGGACATTTTGAAGTCTGGTGTGCTGGACATCGCCATCGACGACTACAACTACCAAAGGATTAACCGAATGTACCGTCAACATCAACTGATCAAGGTTCACTTGAACTGGACATATCGCCAGTTGGTCGGGGTTATGGCGCTGGTGAGCAAGTCCAATCGAGAATCAAAAGAGCTGACTCGGCAGATCAAGTCTCTGCAGACCAGTGTTAATGGATTCAAAAGTAGTTTCAATGAAATCCGTGAAGAAAATGTTCGTTTGAAACAAACCTTGAGTGGGATCGAGAACCAAGTGATGGAATTGTCATCTTGTTTTCCGTCGGATACATCATGTGGTGTGGTCAAGGACAGGAGCACCCGTGTGGTCTCCATCAATACCTGGGACACTGCCCTGACAACTGAGTTCTCTAGTGGATACACAGCAGAGGATGTTGGGCATGATGAATTGCTTTCCACGATTACACCAGGTAGGTGCTCACTGACCTCCCCCTGGCAACAACCAACATACACACCACCCCAACCCTACCTCCCACAATACTTAGCAACATTGTTGGGGTTATATGCATATGATAAGGTAGTCATTACTGAGTGAACACTCGGATTATAATAGAATCGAATCTTTAACCACTAGTCTACCCCACCAACCCCGCAGATGTTAAGATAAGCATTATTGAGGTGTATACCAAGATGATAAGAGAATAATTACGAACGGGTACACACAGAGTGTAAGTGAATCATTATTAAGACAAACTCGCAGATGAAATAGAATCATTAGTGAGGGTTCACGCAAATGAGAGAATCAGTGTACAGTTATTCCTTCATTGTGGCATTTATTTGCTGTTGGTCGCCTCTTTTGAAATTTGATTTGATCTTGTACATAATACAACGTAGATATGTGTATTCTGCATGTTTCACTCTTACAGAGGTGACGTTAACCCACGAAACGCCTGTTTTGACAACTGAGGCTGAGAAGCAGGACAAAGAGAGCGAGACCTTCTCCATGCGTTCCGGAGAGCATACAGGTTGTGTACCTCATCAATGTTTCGTAATTCGTCCTTGTACAGGAAAGAGACAAACAAATTGACTGGATTGATTTCCCATGTAAACGTATCGTCAACAGCACCGTCATTAATCATATAAAGCATTAAGAACTCATTAATATCAGGGTACTGTGACATTAAATGTTTTTGCTGTTTATGAGTCAAATTAGCGTATTGTGATGGTAACATGGACTGTCCCCCACACACGATGTATTATGATGGTAACAAGTTCTGTGCCAGACACACGATGTATTATGATGGTAACATGGTCTGTGCCAGACACAAGATGTATTATGATGGTAACATCGTCTGTGCCAGACACACGATGTATTATGATGGTAACAAGGTCTGTACCAGACACACGATGTATTATGATGGTAACAAGGTCTGTGCCAGACACATGATGTATTATGATGGTAACATCGTCTGTGCCAGACACAAGATGTATTATGATGGTAACAAGGTCTGTGCCAGACACATGATGTATTATGAAGGTAACATATGTTCTCTGCCAGACAGACGACGTATTATGATGGTAACATGGTCTGTGCCAGACAGACGACGTATTATGATGGTAACATGGTCTGTCCTAGACAGACGACGTATTATGATGGTAACATGGTCTGTCCCAGACAGACGAAGTATTATGATGGCAACATGGTCTATCCCAGTCATGCGATGTATTATGATGGTAACAAGATCTGTGCCAGTCACATAATGTATTATGATGGTAACATGGTCTGTCTCCGACACACGATGTATTATGATGGTAACATGGTCTGTCTCCGACACATGATGTATTATGATGGTAACAAGGTCAGCCCCATACAGACGACGTATTATGATGGCAACAAGGTCTGTGCCAGACACACGATGTATTATGATGGTAACATTGTCTCTGACAGACAGACGACGTATTATGATGGTAACATTGTCTGCCCCAGTCACGCGATGTATTATGATGGTAACAAGGTCTGTGCCAGACACACGATGTATTATGATGGTAACAAGGTCTGTGCCAGACAGACGACGTACTATGATGGTAACAAGGTCTGTGCCAGACACATGATGTATTATGATGGTAACATGGTCTCTCCCAGTCAACGCTTACCTGGTCTCAGTTCATTTCCTCTGGTGATATAGTCGTCTAAGGCGCCGCAATTCCCTGTGAAGAGCTGGGGCCCCTCGTCTCACCCAAAACCCATAATTATGAGTTCGAATCCCGTTTGCCCCGATTATAGTTCTAGCGCTTTCAGTACCATAGCGTGGCTCGTGGATTTCACAAAGGGTAAATGTCCTCTCTCATGAAGCCGAGAAACAGTTCAGCTTAGCTCACTCAATCAGTCATGTCTTGAATATGTTTCAGACCCAGCCGTGCACACGTTGACGCCGACAACCGACGTCACGGACAGTTTCGCTGAAGACCTTGAGGATGAAAAACTTATAACGCTGATCCCGAGGCAGAGGTTTGGTAGGTTACTGATTTTGCATCAAAATTCAAACCATATACGTTTTTAAAAGCATTTGAGTGTATCTAAATGTGTACTAGGGATAACAACTGCTCTTCGATTCACATATGGAGTCCGGTAGCGAGAGAGAATGCCCTTACGTGTGTATATCAATATGAACGCTGCACTATGAGTGAGTGAGTGAGTTATGATTAAACGTCACATCGGCAATATTTCAGGCATATCGTGACCGCTGCACTATGAAAGTGAGTAAGTGAGTTAATATTTAACGTCACATCGGCAATATTTCAGCCATATCGTGACGAGAACATGTTTGACATGGAAATGGAATATATGTTAAAAAAACTGTCGACGAAGGACAGTAAAACAACTAGAATATCACAATTAGAATTAAAACTAGTGTAGAAAGTTAAAACTGATAGCACTATTTGGACAATACAACATAAAAACAGGCTATAGATCGCCAACAACTGAAGGTGGATCACCATACTAAGGACCATGGGGACTAACAGTACCTTTGCTACCTGCATGGACCCTAGTTGGATTTAAAATAAGGATTTGTAGCGTTCTCTACATTTTACGAGTATAGGTTCCAGATGTTTATCCTCAACAAGGTATATTACAGTGAACCTGTGTGGACCTGATAGTGTCGAGTTATCCGTAGTTCGAGACAAGCGCAATGTTGGACTAGAAAGACCACAAGGTCTGATTCGGGACTATTCAGTAACAGCAATGTAAAGGAAATACATTGATGGGATGGCATTGACGAGGATCTCAGGATAGGAATCATTGGGTTCTGTTCTCTGATCTATGAATTCATCCAAAATTGAACCGTTATTGTTGAAAATTAACATGTACTGGACAAATACGTGCAGTGATATACATATTATTTCATTATTCATTATTTCAAATATAAAATCTACTGCACTTTCAGAAGGAATTGCTACAGAGAAAACGGCGTCTGAGACGAGGTCGTTATCGTCACCGTCGGGCAGAGAAACCACAACATCAAGTAGGACTGTGTTTGGAATGTCTCTTACCAAGCGATACTTATGAGTCAATTATATTCCCGATTCAAATTATGAGTTCAACCTGTGATTACAAACCCGTGCTTAGCTGACAAATCTTAACATTCTCTTGTCATAGACATAACCTGTTTCCAGAATGTAGGCATTTAACTTTGCGACCTTTTTTTTTTTCTGTTGTTCTGTGGGTTAAATATACGACTCTATGTCCGACGTTTCGAAACCATCTTTTAGTAGTTAAATTATTGTAAGAACATTTAATTTAAAACCAAAACTGTTTTGTAACGTAAACAATGAAATCTAAAAAAACACGTGTTGACAAAGTATGGAAATGTCATACAGTACAGTGAGTGAGGTTACCATAAGTTTAAAGCTGTCCCAGATCTAAAATTTAAAAATAATGGGAGAATTGGGAAATAGTAATGATTTAATTTACAGATATCGCTCCGCATCCGTCTTCGTCTTTGACGACGATCACCGCAACTACATCCACTACCCACACAGATCAGGCAGAAAGATCGACGTCTAAAACTCTCGCTGGTATGTATATTTGCATAACCTGGCAGTAAGTCCGTTCGATGGTCCTATGATAAGTCTAGTACTTATAGTATGACCAGAAATTATTGAGAATTTTAGGAATATGTTAAATTGGATTTCTAGTATAAACAACCTTGACCAGCTAAGTGCTTGGTTTCATTCAAGAGAGACAACTCCATTAATCCTTTTTCATTAGTTTTGTGAAGAGTTATACCCCTTTGTTTACTTGCTAGCAGACGACATTTTCAGTTATCCTCAGAATGGATTATTTAGAGAAGAGGGAAGTTGATTTTAGAGTATTATAACAAGGACATCAGATCAGCTAAAGTGATTTCAAGTGGAACAGGCATCCCTTTGTCCACTGTTTATCGTGTTTTGAAAAATATTGCAAATGGATATGGCATTGAGCACCAGGCGGCTTGGTATTTTTGTTTCAAAAAACAAACAAAGGAGTTTAGAAAACTTAAGGCTGGATTTGATTGATAGAGGTACTTTGGCTGTCTGTAAGGAGACAATTAAAACTGAGCTGCATGCAATGGGTTGGAAGAAAAGTCGAGGAATTCCATCACCGATCATGAAACCTGAACAAAAGGAGCGAAGGTTGAACTGGTGCTTACAACATAGATATTTTAACTGGGACAATGTGATTTTCTCAGATGAAAGATCTGTGTGGCTGTTTACTAATACACTGAAATTCTGGACCAAACAAACTGAAACACCTTTGTATTTGAAGGGAATATGAACAGTGAGCGGTACACCGATATTCTCGAGGGACATTTACTTCCATCTGCTCACGTGTTCTATGGAAATTTTGGATTTCCCAGCAGGATAACGACCCAAAACATCGTTCAAAGCATTCACAGGCCTGGTTTCGGACCCAAAATATGACATTATTAGATTGGCCAAGCTATAGCCCTGACCTATATCCAATAGAAAATGTTTGGGGACTTTTGAAGGAAAGTGTCAATAAGAAAATCTGACAAATATTGCTGAAATGAAAGAAGAGGTGGTCCGATATTGGGACAGCATGGACCACGACTTTCTAACTTCTTTGATCAGTAGTATGCCCCGCCGCATTGAAGCCTGCATTGCTGCCCATGGTGACTTTGACAAAATACTAACTGTTCACCTGTCTTTGAATCTGTGTTCTGAGTTCTGTTCTGCTAATATTCACATTTAATACGTGAGTAATGAGTGAAAAAAAATATAAAAATGTACAATCTTTAAATTCTCAATAATTTCTGCTTGTACTGTAGTCTAAGGGGTAGTGCGTTAAGCCTATGATCCTGATATCGAATCCCAGAGAGGCCTCTATTATGTATCTTGGTTCCTTAGCACCATACGCGTGCCTGTGAGTTTCCTAAAAAGTTGCAAACGCCACAGACGCGCATCACTCAATGACTCTCCATGATGAAAGTGAAATGTGTCTACATCAGCGTCAAACTAGACCCACACTCACATCCCAGCTGGACACAACACATAAAGCCATGTCACAGTGTTTTGTTTGTTGTTTAACGCCGCACTCAGCAATATTCCATCGGCTTGTAAATAATCGAGTCTGGAACAGACAAACCAGTGACAGACATCACAAGCATCGACCTACGCAAATGGGATACGATTACATGCATTAACCAAGTCAGCGAGCCTGACCACCTGATCCCATCAGTCGCCTCTTACGACAAGCATGGGTTACTGAAGACCAATTCTAACCCGGATCTTCAGGGATCTGATATTACAGTCCTGCTCAAAGTGTACGTGATCATTTGGGTAAATGAAATACAGCATAAAAACTTTTATTTGGAGAGACGTGATGAAGGAAGTCGGAACTAGACATTTCATCACAATGACCGTTCCGGATATGTATGTTGATGTCTGAAAATAGCATGAAGGGTTCGGAATAAGCGCGTGGTGTAAATGATGAAACCCCGGGAGATAATTGGCTGAATGATGTGTAATTTGATAAGGGGATGCTGTTTTGATAGGCTCATTGTTTTTCCAACTGTTTGAACATATTGTTTTCATTTACAAATATACATTATAAGTTGTTCACTGGTCACGAGGGGGGCATGGATTGACGTACCCTCGATGTTTTTTTCATGTTTCCCTCGCCCTTCGGACAACGTATTTATCTTACCGAACACCTTAATGTTAATTTTGAATTGTTTGAATCACGGGTAAAAATGTTTTTGTAGCCATCGCTAGATTTTGCTGACAAGAAAAACAGATTTAGAGTTATCTCCCTTCCATCGATTTGCATTTGCAAAACATCGGTAATTTCCGTACATCCTACGTGATCATTCAATGTTATTCGAGATAAAAGAATTACCACCATGAAGTACAGAATGAGTTGCCATTAAAAGCGGAGTGTCAGTGTGTAGTAACAGTATTACATCAATTATATGCAGGATATACAGAGGAAGAAAATGGCAGTGTTTAGCGTTTGTTCCAGAAAATAATACTTCAACCAAACTAACTCACATTATGACAACTTCAGCACTGTCCCCATGGTCCCTAGTATGGTGATCTACCTTCAATGGTTGGCAACCTATAGCCTGTTTTTATGTTGTATTGTCTTCGTAAATAAAAAAACCCCAAAACATCTGTGATACTCTAGTTATTTTAGGGTCTGAGTGTTTGACAATTTATATTTATTATGTATGCAAAACGTTTCACGTCACCATATGGCTGAAATATTGCCGAGGTGACGTTGTACTTTAACCTCACTCACTCACTCACTCACTGATAACTTCAAAATATATTGAACATTAAGACATTGTAGGTTACGTGTTACTTGCAGTAACTGCATGAAAACCCCCTTTCTACCAACTAAGCGATCAATCTCTATCAACTTTACTTGGTGTCGGATCAAATAAAGTTTAAAGTCCCGCAAATGACATGCAAACTGAAGGGTATTATTCGAAATAATTGACAACACGAACAACAACTGTTTGGATGTTAGGATGTTTAAGTACTGCTATACAATGCATTTGCTAGAACTGAAAGATCTATCGAATCCTTATGTCACATTACCTTAATCAAATACAATATCATTTTTAGCAGCGACAGTCGTGACGGAGGCATTGGCAACTGCTGCGGAAGACCGAATGATTTCGACGACTAAAAAGCAAAGTACGTTTTATCAGTAGAAGGGACATTATTTGTAAATGTCAGAGACATTTAAAAGGGTCAATATATCAATGTGGGATACGCTGACGGAAGAAGGATGTAGGAAAACTGGAAAATTTCGAAGGGCGGTTGTTTATGATTCGGTTGGTAGGAAGGACACAAGAAATGTATGAAACAGTTTGAATATATCAGATTAGAGGACATTGGGGTATAGGTGAACACCGTGAACCTTCCATCACAGGCAGTCATCGTATATGAGGCAAAAGAAGCTATTCTGACTGTTTTCTCAAACTACCCCGACCGAATCAGGTGTTTTCAGGCCACTGATATTGTGGCGTAAAATAACGTATAAACAGGTCTTAGGCCATTGCTGCGTCGATCACGTGAGTCAGACTTAATATTCAAAATGATACGTTAATAGGCCTGCAAGTGCCCAAAATAAATGAGGTGTGTTCAAAGCCTCATGCAACTCCTTCCAAACAAGTCTTTTGGTCAAGATTACAACCCTGAAGAAATCAGCAAAGATTTGAAATAGTTTTTTTTGGGTAGACATGTGGATATATTTCCACATTCGGCGGATGAGTCACAATATTTCCGATTTGGACCTTTACTCTATGTTCTTATACCTATCCTAAATTAACAGTTGACCTGCCGCTGCATGTGTTTGTGACGGGTTACCTTTTTGCAACATCTGTCACTGTTTCATGAGTCATCATAAAGACATGCGTATGATAAAGTCTTAGTTGTACAAGGGACTCTGCTTTTAGTAAAGATATCTTATGGTTATTGAATATGTTTGTATGATCGCTTGTTATTCAACAAAGTCGTGTTTGATGAAATAACGTTAATATTACAGCCACCACAACAAGACCAGGGGACGCTGTCAGGGACATACTGAGTTTGATCAAGAACTGAGAGGCATGGTAAGATTTTCTCTAACTACTGAAACACTAGTATGCTACAAACCTGTTAAAGTTGAAGGGGGCGGTGGGGTAGCCTAATGGTTAAAGCGTTGGCTCGTCACGCCGAAGACCCGGGTTCGAATCCCCACATAGGCACAATGTGTGAAGCCCATTTCTGGTTTCCCCCGCCGTGATGTAGCTGGAATATTGCTAAATGCGGCGTAAAACTAAACTCAGTCAGTCAGTCAGTCAGTCAAAGTTGAACTGGTAAAGTTTTAACATAGTGCCGAGGAGCAGTGGGGCAAACCTGTGGCCATTGGCGCTGGCTGATCACGTGTAAGAGGAAGTCTCTATATCACACATAGGTGCACAGTGCCAATATCTGAACTCTGTTTCATGTGTCACAAAAGGATGAAGATGTAGTCACTTTGAAGTATTATACAATTTTCTTTCCGTTTACTTCAGATATTGGAAGTTCGATCATCACTTGCTCAACTGATGTACGGGAGCCACCAGGGACTTTCATGTGTATAGATTTAATTATGATCACCCGAGTCTGAAGAAGGAGGTCTGGGGCGGATGTTCGGTTTTCTTTACCCCTAATTTGTAAAAATTCTATTCATTTTCTCTTTCCCTTCCTTTCGTTTTTGCAATGAGGTGAGGTATTTTGATGGAATGTGTATCGGTATATTTCATAATAAACTCTGGATACAATGTGTGAAGCCCATTTCTGGTGTCCCACGCCGTGATGTTGCTGGAATATTGCTAAAAGCGGCGTAAAACCAACCTCAGTCAGTCAGTCAGTCATAATAAACTCCCTTGCCAAGAACTTCACAATTGAATACATGCCTTGGTATTTGTGGCGAGTATGAAAGAGAATTAAGCCAGCATAATGTCAACCATATCTCGACGGCATGTTAAAGAGGCATTCAAATCAGTGGTTGAATGCATCAGCAATACCCCAAGTCATCGAGTTAAGATGATACGCAGTAACCCATGAAGATGGATTTTAAAATCTGTATCAGAATCTACCCGAGGTTAGGTGTCTGTGTTTGAATAAGCCCCCAATTTTTAAACAACTATAATCATGACCATTACGAAGTGCACGACGATTGCACCAAGATAAACAATCAGGATGATGTGTGTATTCAAACCAACCATTATCAGATATGGTCGAAGGGACGCAACTCAATATATTCGCCCCAAAATAACCACAACATATATACATCACAGTTGAGACATTGTACAATCACCAATACACGACCAGTTTAATTAACTGGCAAATCAAGAAATGGGGAGGTAGCGACTAACAGAAAAACACACACTCCGAATGAGTGTATCCGAGTTGATTCGAACAGAGGCGTGCAAAATAGAGGATTAAACAAATCACAAATGTTATAAACAAAAATCTTTATTAGGTTAGTAACATTCGTCAAAATACCGCAATACTGCCGCACTGAGCACTATCCCAGCTATATGGCGGCGGTCTGTAAATAATCGAATCTGAACCAGACAATCCAGTGATCAACAGTATGAGAGCATCAATCTACGCAACTGGGTTACGATGACCAATGTCAAGTCAGCGAACCTGACCACCCGGTTCCGTTTGTCGCCTCTTACGACAAGCCTGGTTTACTGAAGACCAATTATAACCCGGATCTCCACGGGTCCCGTTTAAGGAAACGACATAAGACCAAAAGAATACCAAAATGTCAGTGCCTCCACCTGTACGTGCTAAGCGTACCATACAGTTATATGCTAGATTCTAACCAAGACGACGCATGTCTCTAACTACACTTGACACACGTCTAAACAGTAACCCCTAAGTGGTATTAAGTTATTCAGAAAAAATATAGACAAACTGCCTTCTGTACCATTACTCTGGAGGTGAGGTGAGGTGAAATTGGGTTTAACGTCGTGCTTGAGAATATTTCGCTCATATGACGACGTGCGGCTTGGATGTGCGGATGCTGGTACTAGCCCAGATGTAAGCTGGTTTTATAGTGCTAGCCCACTGAGATACCATGCCGCAGTGAAGCATGAATACACCACTCAGACACATTATACTGACTCCGAGCCGACCAGTCCTTGTTGTACCCATTAATACCGAGCGCCAGGCAGAGACCAACAAGTACCATATTTTAACGTCTTTTGCATATGACGCGGTCGGGGATCGAACCCGCGACCTTCCGCTCTCCGGGCGGACGCTCTAACCACTACACCACGGAGGCGGTTCCATTACTCTGGAAAATGTATATATGTTACAATTAAAGGTAACATAAGTGTGTTACCGTGATCTTTCATCCGTGGCACAAATTGGCCACAATGTTACCATGGTTCGTCCTAAATCCAATAACCACAGCTATAATTTTGTCGATCCGGAGCTTTCTATTTTTCTGTTCAGAAGGACAACGTATCTGGTCTGTGGAATAAACAAGCAGCCAAACTATAGGGTTCCTCCATACATCCATCTGAATCAGAATCGTTCGTCTCGTTTTCCGTTAAAGATATTCTGTGTTTTTTCTGGGGCAATATATCTCAATAAAGACATCTCAATCAAGCAGGCAAGACATCGAATTCATCTTAAAATTCTTCATCTGTTCAAGATCACCCAAGCACTTTATATTAAGCTCGTTGAGCCTTTCATTTCAACTTGGCACTCTCGGATGATGGGCAGCTGTATTGACCAGCAGTCAAAGTAATGAGATTTCATATCGTAATAGTAGGAGGAAAATGAACAGTGTCTCATCGCATTAACTGATGGTCATCCAGGTTGACCTTGAGTGTGAGCAGAATACAGAAGTGAGACCAACGAACCCATATGACGTTGGACGTCGATAGCAAGTGGGAGACCCTATTCAAGGGCATAGCTGGCATGTTGTCTTGGTATCTATGGTAAGCCAAGCTTGTCACCACTCACCAGCTCGTGTGGCCTCTATGTAGATAGTATAGTATAGTGTAGTGATAGTTTTCTGTCTCCGCCTTTAAAAGGTGAGCTGAAATGTGGTTTCACGTCGCGTTCATGATTTTTGAGACAATGTGCTAGCCTTGTGGTTTAAGCGTTCGCTTGTCTCGCTTAAGAACTGGGTTCGATTCCCCACATGGGTACAATGTGTGAAACCCATTTCTAGTGATATTACTGGAAGTTTGCTAAAAGCAGTGTAGCACTACACCCAGTCACTCGTTCAAGTTTTTTGTGATCATATTGCGATGTGCTCTCACGTGTGAATACACGACATCAGCCGATTGTATTAGTAGGAATTAATGCTTGTTTTATAGTGCCGACGCACCTGGGGACCATAAATAAAATAAGACTACCAGACCATTTCGATACCCCACATGGGTACAATGTGTGAAGCCCATTTTGTGGTGTTCCCCACCGTAATAGTGCTGGAATATTGCTAAAAGCGGCGTAAACCTAAACTCACTCACTTCTCTGAGCCGACAAATCTATACTTTATCACTCGTATGGCGAACTTATATCTAGATTTTAGTATGACGAACAACCGAACTTTCGCTGTCTGACAGTGAGTGAAAGGGTTGGGTTGTACGCAGCTTTTAGCAATATGTCAGCCATATAACGGCGGGGGACACCAAAATGGGTACTCATGTGGGGAATCGAACCGCGCCTTTGGCGTGACAAACGAACGCTTTACCCAGTAGGCTACCCCACCGCCCCTCGCTATCTGGCAGAGGCGGTCCGGGAGTGTTACTGAAGAAAAAAAACAGGATTTGTAGGCTGTGTGAGAGATCGGGGAGGCATAGAAAAACCTCTCGTGTTTACTGTTATCACATAAATCTTGACAGTAGGAACAGTGCATTGCATACATAATGTCACTTTTCTATAGTGGAGAGAATGGATATGTACATATTAATCTTTCGCCATGAGGATTTACGAAACCACGTTGACACAATATTTATACTTTAACACAAATCTAACAGTCGTACAGCTAAAGCCGCTTCGTGGAACGGGTCCTAACACAAAGAGGTTCATCCTGTAGAGTTACGTCCCCTTGTCCGAGGTGGTTCTCTGTCGTGTACTCTTCACTGTACCTCACTCACTCACTTGCTCACTGACCGCCTCCGTGGTGTAGTGGTTAGAGCGTCCGCCCGGAGTGCGGAAGGTCGTGGGTTCGATCCCCGACCGCGTCATACCAAAAGACGTAAAAATATGGTACGTGTTGGTCCCTCCCTGGCGCTCGGTATTAATGGGTACAACAAGGATTGGTCGGCTCGGAGTCAGTATTATGCGTCTGAGTGGGGTCTTCATGCTTCACTGCGGCATGGTATCTCAGTGGGCTAGCTCTATAAAACCAGCTTAAGTCTGGGCTAGTACAAGCAGCCGCACATACACATACACACGCATGCACGTCGAAATATTCTCAAGCACGACGTTAAACCCAATTCCACCACCACCACCACCACTTGCTCACTTGCTGGTAGGATGTGGATAATGTCTTAATATCACATCCAGCCTTTAAATTGGCTTTTATGCGTTATTGGGTAATTAATTTTCAGTAATGCGTGGATGTCAACAAGTTTGGCAATTAGCAACGCAAAAACTCTCAAAGCGACCACGAAACTGCCTCTTATTCCCAAATTATCCCTACTTCTTTTTAATGAGTTGAAGAGCACATAAACAACGAGATCTTGTCTTTCGGATAAACGTGCCAATAACACTTTATGTGTTTTTTTGTAGCTACAGCGACCACCACCATATAATTTGTAAGATCGGGGACAATTGATATTTGCTCCTAGCGGAAAATAGCCAGACAATCGCTTATGTGATGCTTGAACCATAGATATCTGTTCATCGGCGTTCAGCCAGTCGGATAAATCAAATTCGAAAGTAGCGAATGGTCGTGTATGTGTGGGTAATAGTTGTATGTACAAAATAGTTTGATGAAGTGGAAAATAAGAACAAAAATCCAAGTGTAGCGGATAATCGAATGTGGCGACTACCTGGAAAGTCGGATATAACGAATAGGAGATGTAGCGAATAGTCGAACGTAGCTAACAGTCTGATATAGCGAATATTCGGATGTAGCGACTAGTTTACACGTGGAATAGCTCGATAAAGCGAAAGTTAGGATGTAGGACAGTCTGATGGAGATGGAGACCATCTTTCAGTGTTGTCACAACCCCTAGTGTACAGTACACAACTCTGTGCACTCAAAAGAACCCACGGATCCGTTGGTATATGACCAGATGGTGACATGTATACGTGCAAACACCTATTTGCGGGTACAGCAACGTGCAGTAAACTTGGAGAAGGTACTGTGACTTTGTGTCCCAGTCCACCCAGTTGTGAATGGGTACCTCGTAAAGATGAGAAAGCCTTAAAACTCGGTGCGCCTAGTGGCTGCAAGAGTTGTAGGGAGATTGATAATACGATGTGCCGTTCAGACTGACATCCAGTGATCGAGGGAAATACCAGCGCCTTGAGCATGTACTAGTTACGTGGATATGTGCGCTTTATCATATAATAATAATAATCTTATTTGCTGGCTGATGTTAGCAAGATTGAACTATAAAAAGAAAGCAGGTACAAAAGTATAAAATTACTGCAAACCTTTTAAAACGATAACGTTGTGTCTACTGTAGTTACGATAAAACGTTGTTTTATTTCACATCAGTGGTTTATTGCAATGTTATGGCAACGTTCAGGCAAAGCGAATTAAACACGTGGGCTACACACG